CCTTTACACCCATGCGGCGCGCCGGGCGGCAGGTGCAGGGGACGCACGAAGCCAGCCCGTGCGTGCGGGTCGCGCGGCTCCCGTCGCGCATGTCGCCGTCGTGAGGGGGACACGTACCATTCCGCCTCGTCCTGGCATTTCTCCCTTTGGCTTTTATGTCTGCGGTGTGAGCGGAGCCAACGACCCGGTGCGGGACCCACGGGGGCTGCTAGCGCCGAGCCCGCCGTGTGGTGGCCGCGGTAAATACTCGGCTCGCCGTGGCCGAGAATTGTCTCGTTAAGGAGTCTCTGAATGACTTAGTGATTTAAGAAAAGCCTGGAGTATTAAGGTCCAGTTGAGGAACAGTTACAGGTAGGAGGCAGACCCCAGGTTTTCAGAAAAGGCTGATTGTGGTGTTCGAGAGTTCGAAGTAACCGGTGAAGATGGGGAAGCGGAACCTTTTAGAAACGTCTGGGGAGAACAAAGAATGTGTTGACTTTATTCAAACCCAAAATCGGGCGTAATGGAGTCGACTTGTGCAGTTTTTTTCCGTTTCGGTTTAAATTGGTGCCTGGCTCTCATTACATTGCTCTTAGTACATTACCCATTGGCAGCAGAGACGCGGCAGAAAAGTGCTGTCTTGTGCTGATCGATTCATCCTTTCAAGTGACTTAGCTGTACAGAACACCAAGAGGTGTTCTTGGGTGAAATTTCTCAATCGCCAGTTATTAAAATAAAGCTTCAAAAGATACAGGAAAGCAAAATACTTGAGAGCGGTGTATTTAAAAGAAAACCTTCCAAGTTTAAGCCTGAACTTTGCCTTAAATAAAGATGTTTAACAAGACACAAGTTAATCCAATCTGTCACCGCTTGAGCCTATTTAAATGTTGTTTATATAGACAATGGATTTGCTGACCTTAGTCTGTTGCCTCGCACTAGGGGTGATTTAGGAGGTTGACAGTGCCAAAAAGTCACTTCCGATCAAGTCTTGAAACAAATTCTCCCATGCATGGGTTTGGATTTATGGCAGGCCCGTCCCCCTGGGCCTCTCATAGTGCCCCATGCCAGAGCAAATTGTAGCCCTGAACCATTGCCTGGCCTCTGTGCCCGTAGGCTGCAGGCACTGAAGCGGGTTACACATTGGAAAAGGCTTTATCTGGCAGAAATTAAATAGATTAAAATAATTTTAAGATAACTGTCACTTGCCAGGGTCACATTTCATGAAGGCTCTGATTGTTACGAGCTTATTTTTGCTTATACATACTTCATTTATGCTTATTTTTGTTATTCATAAAAGACACCAAAATTACTCTCCTATGATTATCATTCATAGCTAAGCAAATGTTAGAGTGCCCGCTGGGAGTCCCAGAATTGCTAATTTAGTAGGCAACACTGGTTCAAGAATACTGTTTTTTGATCAGATAGAGCGGCTATAGTACATTATGTTGATTTGAAGATGCAGTTTTTAAAAATAGATGCTTAGCGTGAAAGTAAAATAGCATGAAAATTAGCTCAGAAAATTCTCAGGAAACTCAGTAAGCAGAGAGACCCTGACATTGCCATGGTGCCTGTTAGCCACTGCAAGACTTAGTGAAAGTAGGAATTGGCAGGATGTCTGTGTGGCAACTTTTAATTGTTACTGTAACCACTGTTTTAAGCTTCTAAAGAACTGAGACAGCTCTGAAATAAAGTAAGTGGACCATTGTAAAACTCTTCCCCTTATTAGTGAACTAAGTGCAAGAAAGCTGAAGCCCACGTTCTTCATTTTTTGGCATGAATATTCGAAGTGCTTATTGAGATGTACAGTACTATATATGGAATTTTAGTGTGCTACTTTGAAGAAATCTGAAGCATTGAATCTGGTGTCCTCAGATACTGTAGAAGTTTAGGGAATCATGAAACTTACACCCAGGACTAATGGGGTTCCACACCCAGAGAGTGAGCTGCTTGAGTAACCTGCTTCCTGGGTGTGCATGGTGAGTGCCTGATCTTTCCATGTGATGTGTTCCTAATGAGGACAGCAAATTCTGTGTTTCTCAGGACATTTCCACTGCTGCGCGGAGAACACACCCATCTTTGGCGGGACTTGGGACTCCTGGAGAATTGCCTTTGGGAAAAGCTGGCAATTGTTTCTTTAAATTCCATCTCTTAGTTTTCCTTGTAAGTATTCATGATTGTTGCAGGTTAATCTGGTTAAAAATTACTAAGTATCTCTAAGGTTCCTGAGTAAATGTGTCCACCCTATTTGCAGATCTCTGTGTTTCGAAAGAATATCCAGAAGCCATGAACAACTTTATCAATGAAGAGTTTGACTGCCATTTCCTCGATGAAGGCTTTACTGCCAAGGACATTCTGGACCAAAAAATTAACGAAGTTTCTTCTTCCGTAAGTGTATTGAGTCCACGTTAGCGGTGTAGCTCAGAGAGAGACGAGCTGACGAGGGGGAAACTTCATTGGAGTCTGAAGGAAATGTAATGGAACTTAGGTCTTGTTAGGGAATTTAGAATTTAATTGGCTGTGGATCACTTAGCGATAATAGTGACATTTGTGTCAGTGACTGGACTAGAGAGAGTAGGGTTCATTGGGAGTGATGGGAAGTAGAGAGGCTGCGTGCTGGACGTTAGGCAGCTAATAAGTTCCCTGTAACCACACCTACTGTAGGATGACAAGGATGCCTTCTACGTGGCGGACCTGGGAGACATTCTCAGGAAACATCTGAAGTGGCTGAAAGCTCTTCCTCGAGTCACCCCCTTCTATGCGGTCAAATGCAATGACAGCAGAACCGTACTGAAGACCCTCGCTGCCACTGGGACGGGATTCGACTGTGCCAGCAAGGTGAGCAAAAGGCAGCAGGACTCACAAATGATTCTGCAAAAACGGCCCTGGTGTTCCCAGCAGGGCAGATCAGTTAGTTTCTGGGGCAGTAAATGCTAATGAAAGTAGGGGGCACTGTGGTGTGACAGCTTCCCCGTTATTCTGCTTCTTGCATTTGTTTATTAGCAACTTACAGTGTAACACCTCTTCTTTTTCAGACTGAAATTCAATTGGTGCAGAGTCTTGGGGTACCTCCAGAAAGGATTATCTATGCAAATCCTTGTAAACAAGTGTCTCAGATTAAATATGCTGCCAATAATGGAGTCCAGATGATGACTTTTGACAGCGAAGTCGAGCTGATGAAGGTTGCCAGGGCACATCCAAAGGCAAAGTGAGTTACTCCTGCATTTGAGGGCAGGGTCAGGTGTGGCATCTGCATTAGATTTCTGTACTTTAGTAAATTATCTGTGCGCTGGATCAGAGACAAAGTAGAACATCACTTAATGTCTCTAGCCTCATTTTAGACTCAAAGCACAGAGTGTCAGAGCCCAGGGTTCGCTTTGTGTTGTAACCATGTCCGTAGGTGATGCTCGTGTCATGTGAATTTGCTGCACTGTTCTTGCTTCTAGGTTGGTTTTGCGGATTGCCACTGATGATTCCAAAGCAGTCTGTCGCCTCAGTGTTAAATTTGGTGCCACACTCAAAACCAGCAGGCTTCTTTTGGAGCGGGCAAAAGAGCTAAATATCGATGTCATTGGTGTCAGGTGAGATATTAGAGAGGCTGAGATGGAAACATTTAGATGACAAGTTTGACAGGCTCTTTTCCCCCACTGTAAGTAGTTCTTTTTAGGGATAGTGGGTTCTCCTTTCTTATTCCCAGTTTCCACGTGGGAAGCGGCTGTACTGATCCCGAGACCTTCGTGCAGGCCATCTCTGATGCCCGCTGTGTCTTCGATATGGGAGTGAGTATATCTGAACCCCAAGTGGGAGGTGGGGGGCAGGGCTGACGTATTACAAATCTGGCTGTTTGATCGACTTAATTTTCTTAACTCTAGGCTGAGGTCGGTTTCAACATGTATCTGCTTGATATTGGTGGCGGCTTTCCTGGCTCTGAGGATGTGAAGCTTAAGTTTGAGGAGGTAATCCATAACAGTTCCAGTGTGCGGGAGCTATTGGAGCAAGTCTCTTTTTAGAATATTAAAATTCCTTAGCCGATACCAAAAGAGACTACAAATATGAAAGTAAATGTCTTGGTGTGATATTTCAAGCGACTTCCGTGTGATTTAAAATTGTATTTAACATCATTTAGCTTTCTAAACTGAGTCTTTCTAAAAAGTCTTAGAAAACAGTTGGTTACATTAAGAAATGTCACTGGAAATAAGAACATGCTGGCTTTAATACAGTAAGTCCTCACTTAACATCACGATGTCCTGTAGCTTTAGGAGAAAGGACGTAACAAAACCGATTTTACAACAAGCTAATTGATAGAAACAGGAATTAAGTTCCTCTGACGTCTCATCAGCGTTATAGTGACACGACATTTGGACAAAGTAAATGTAATTTGAGGATCTGCTCTACACCATATGTGCTACGCTAGAATCTGTATTTTCTTAAAACATTTTAAGTGTTTAGTCACTTAAGCCATTATACGGTGCTCAAGTTTATAACAAAAGATCCACATTCTTATTTGTTAAAATTACGTGAGATTGGCAGAAAAAGTGTTTTACCCTGTTGGCATGTAAAAATATTTAGGCACTTTGGTACTAAGTAGGTGATAATAAATTTGTTTCATACTGTTTGGTAAAAGGAAACCCAACCCATAACATCTTAAAAAGGACAGGACGGGAACCTGGGGAGGAATCAGAGGGAAGCCACAGGGAGGTGAGGGCTGGTTTTCAGGGAGATTTTGATTCTGATTTTTTGCTGCTGTTGCTTGTTAAGCTCCTCCTGATGGCTGCTCTGAAACAAAAACGTTTGTCATGTCACAGCACTGCGTCCTCCACGTGGTTCGCCTTGATGGCTGACTCTCGTCTGTCTCGCTCTCGTAGGTCACCAGTGTAATCAACCCAGCACTGGACAAGTATTTCCCGTCAGACTCGGGAGTGAGGCTCATAGCGGAGCCAGGCAGATACTACGTCGCATCAGCTTTCACGCTCGCAGTTAACATCATTGCTAAAAAACTCGTATTAAAGGAACAAACAGGCTCTGATGGTAGGTACAGAGAGTGAATCCTTGTATGTGGAGCTGAAAGCTAGTGCGAAAAGTGGTCATTGAGACTTTCTGCTTCCTAGATGAAGATGAGTCGAGCGAAAAGACGTTTATGTATTACGTGAATGACGGCGTATACGGATCGTTTAATTGCATCCTCTACGATCATGCGCATGTGAAGCCCCTTCTGCAGAAGGTACCTTCTGACTGTACTGTGTGTAAGAGTTAAGGTGATGAGTCCTGACAGGTGTAACTAGGTATGTTTCTCTCAAATGTAGAGGCCCAAACCGGATGAGAAGTATTATTCATCCAGCATATGGGGACCAACGTGTGACGGCCTCGACCGCATCGTTGAGCGCTGTGGCTTGCCTGAGATGCACGTTGGCGACTGGATGCTCTTTGAAAACATGGGTGCTTACACCGTGGCTGCCGCTTCTACCTTCAACGGGTTCCAGAGGCCGACCATCTACTACGTGATGTCAGGGCCGACGTGGTGAGTGGCGATGCCTGTGTGTGGTTCTGACAAGAAAAGATACCTTTTTTAAAGTTTATTTTCCTCCCATGTCAAGAATATATGTTCTAGAAAATTTGGAAAATAACAAATGGATGGAAAAAATCCAATAAGTGATTTTATTCTTAGATTTTTCCCTAAGGTGTAACCATTTTAGGCAAGACTGGTTATGGTATCTCTGGATAATGAGAATATTTTAATGAACGCATGTGATCTGTGGTTTCCTTATTACCAAAAAGAGGGCTCTGAAGAAACGGTTGCTTCAGAAATACAGTGAATTGCTTCCCGATGACACAGTGACCGAGGAAGCAAATAGGCTCCTGAATAAGTTATTGGAAACTGCTCAGTGATGAGTGACTCACGGGTTCTGAATGTGCTACTTCTCTCTCTCGCTCAGGCAACTGATGCAGCAAATTCAGAAGCGGGACTTTGCGCCCGAAGCGGAGGAGCAGGAAGTCGGCACCCTGCCCGTGTCGTGTGCCTGGGAGAGTGGGATGAAGCGCCACCCAGCGGCCTGCGCTTCCGCGAGTGTCAATGTGTAGATGCCGTTCTTGTAGCTGTTACTGCGAGTGTAGCTTGAATTTAGGGAGGGGGGGGCATTTAACTTAATTACTGCTAGTTTTGAAATGTTTTGTAAGTTGGGTTGGCACAGATGGAACAATATGGAAGACTAGGAGGTGGGGTCACACTTATCTGTGTTCCTATGGAAACTATTTGAATATTTGTTTTATATGGATTTTTATTCACTCTTCAGACATGCTACTAAAGAGGGCCCCTCAGCTGCTGAGCAAGCATTTGTAGCTTGGACATTGGCAGAACGGGCCAGAAGCTTAGTATCGTGACCTGTTTTAAAAATAAAGTATCTTGAAATAATCAGGCATTGGGAAATTTTTACAGTGTGTCCAGTTCAAACGCTCGCCTTGCGTGTGTTTTACAAATGGGAGCTGATGTTGTATGACTAAGGCGTTCGTGGTTTTTGTTATTTTGGTGTTCCGTGGAAGAGCCTTCTTCCTGTTGGCCATTTTTATTTCAGGTACAGGAGTCCTGTATCAAGTTTGGTGTAGATTCTCACAAAGAACTGCGGGTTTAGCCCACGTACAGGTAGAAGGATGGACGAGATAGGCCGTGTCCTCTGCTGCTGAGAGTGGCAGACGTCTGCCTTAGCGGCTCAGCCCACCCTGAATGTCCACAGGGATGGCTGAACATGGGACGCCCAGAGCCCCTTGCCAGCTGTCTGGCCTGCTGCTGTCATGGCCAGTGCACAGGGCCGGCACGCCAGGCCCTCTGAGCCCGGCCCACAGAGAGAGGCGCCCCCTGCCCACCCGGAGGGCACTCCCAGCGCAAGCTGCATTGTTGCAGACAAGTTAGGGATGTAGTGTATACAGCATGTGGCCGTCACCGTATTAATAAATTCAGTTACTCTGTGTTACAGGTGTCTGACTTGACCGCTGACTGGCCACCTATGTTTTCTTATCAGCTTACCCCATTCCCCAAAAAAGCAGGCTCATATTACTTAACCCCCAAAATGGGAATTTTGAATCTCTGCAAAGCTGCAGAATGAAAAAGGGAGGCCATGTAAAAGCCAGATGTCGCTCTAGGAAGCCCCCAGCTTCATTAGAGGGACGTGGGAAGTCAGCAGCAAATGGTACAGATGGGGGCGCTGTGGCTCTGTTCCATCTCAGGAGCAAATGAAGCCGCCTGGCTGCTGCTGTCAGCCCCTTAGAGAAGTCGAGGGGAGCGATTTCTTGTCCTATAAAAAGCATCTTCCCCTAAGGCGTAAGGGGGGATGGATGCTGCGTTGTGATTGCTGGTCCCTCTAGGGCATGGCTTCTCATCAGCTCTGGCCTCCCTCCCTGGACCAGACCATGAAACACGTCAGGAGCCACAGAGAACACGGGCTCTCCCCGGAGAAGGGGCGGGGCGAGCGTAATCAGTGGTTGGCCTCACTTCGCGCCCCTTCCTGCTTCCTCGGGGTCTGATGCACGCTGCTGCTGCTCCAAAGGAAGGAATTAAGAGTCCCCCAAAATGCGAGCTGGACATCAAGCCTAAAGTCTTGGTGAGTTAGAGGTCTTGGACTTAGAAAGGGAAGGAATTAAAAACAATCACTCAGGGCATCTTAAAATCCAGATGGCTGGACCCATCCCAGACACGGTGGAAACGGGGTGGGGGGTGGGGCAACTGTGTAACCAGCTGGAAAAATAAAAGTATCCTCAACTGACATCACTGTCAATTCCAGATGAAAGTTTTCAATGTAATAGGTTCGGCCACGAAACTATTGGAAGAAAACATTCGAAGTCAAAAAGGCAAGGGACTAATGGGGAAACTGGCAAACAAGAAAGGAGCTAATTTTCATATTAAAAAGGCTCTAATCAATAAAAACAATAGAAGTGGGCAAGACGTGAACGGGTTCAAAGAAATAAAATGTGTTGAATGTGAGATTCTCAAAGTGTATTAAAGCCCCCAAAATCTGTTTAAAACCTGTCGGATTGGCAAAGGGATCCCTAGTTTGTGAGTAAGCTGGCATGCTCGCCCACAAAAGATGGGAAAAGGGATTGCAGGAATAATCTGGAGAGAATTTGGCCATATCAAAATAATCCGCATTATCTTTGAACCAGTAATTCTAAAATTTTCTGATAAATCCACTTACAAGGCTTTTCATGGCGGCATTGTTGATAAGAGCACGTTAGAAACAACCCGTATGCGAATCAAGAGGGTGCCAACGAGATGACCCCTGGACGGGACACGCTGCCTGAGGGCACAGACTTATAGGAACCTCGTGGGACAGTCTCCGAGCAGGAGGAAGAGGAGGCGGGTGAGGAGTGGGGCGGAGTGTGCTACCATTTGTGTAAAAAGCGAACCAAACTCACCCTGTGTGCGCACACGTACTTGCACACACTTGCACACGCACAGGACACTTCTGGAAGAGAAGGGCTGAGAGGCTGGCAGCAGGAGAATCAAGGCCTAGGGAGGAGGGTGGAGCCGACGCGTGCGCTTGACACGTGTCTGTTAACTGATTTCAAAAGGAATTTGAAAACAAGCCTCCCGGTGAGGAAAGAGGCTCAGAGGTTAGTCCTCGAGTCGAGTGACTCGCGTGTCCCTTCTGTGTGTTCTTCCTAGCTCGCCATGCTGCTAGACCTGCGCTGGTGGTCGGATCAGGGGACCCGGGCGGGGCTGGCCAAGGCCAGCTCTTCAGCTTTGCAGGGTCCCAGGGCTGGCTCATGCCACCCAGCTCGTGAGGCCGATGGACACGGCAGAGGCACTGGAGCCAAGGAGAGCATTGTACACTCTGGAATGTTGACAGGTCAATACCTACCTTCCCCCAGGGGTCGTCTTGGGGTCAGGGTCAGACCCTGAGTGCCCAAGCTCCCAGCTGGGCCACTGCCTCTCAAGGACTAGTCTGCACCTAGGGGTGGGCCAGAGCCGATGGACAGACCACCGTCCATGCCTTTGGCCTCCCTCTCTCCGCCCTCCTGGAAGGCCACCCTTGGTGCCACCTTTCGGGTGTGACCCACTGTTCTACCCAGGCCTCACTCAGTTTGTCTGACAGTCATGTGCTCCGATGGCCCACCCAGTGACCCCTACGAGGCGACCTTGCGTCTCTATGCAGAGTCCATTTGCACTTAGTAGGTTTCCTTAGGTTATTCACCTGCTGGCTGTTCACCCCCTCTGCTAGAGGGCTTTTCCGGCCATCACCCCATCCTTTCTTCAGCATGGGCGCTCCCCCCATTCTGGGCCTGGGGGCTCACTTCGAGCCACCCCTGGGTCCTGCTGGAGGACTGGCCCTGGAGGTGAGGTTAACCTTTTCCACATCGAGGGTCCTGAGGAGCCTTGGCACTTGGGGGTGACGAGCGGAGGACAAGTTGGGGGTTCTGCCCTCTCTGTCCCTGCTTAACGCATCGGGTTTCCAGGTTGAATGTCATTTGAAGAAAGGCTTTGCGAGCGCTCCCAGACGCCTTTGTAACAGATGGGAGGAAGCCCAGACTGGATGTGCCCCGTGCGCAGTGAGCCAGCCAGTTTAAGAGGACTTTAGGTCTCCCGCCTCCCTGGCCACCTCTGCTCCTGGCCACCGTGACTAGAGTGAGCCTCCTCCTCTGTCCCACCAAGGGCGGAGCCGCAGCTCCTGGTCCTTGCTCCCTCCCAGCCTCATCCCGGCCCAGGGAGGCAGCAGCAGGAGACCCAGAGCACCTGCGGCTCTGAGCCACGCGGGGGGTGGCTTCTTCAGCTGCACTGACAGAGCCGACACTGGACCTCCCAGGGACAGTCCCTCCCCCTCAGAAGGAAGCCTGGCATATGCGTCTACCTGGCGGGGCTGTTGAGGCAGGATTGGGGAAGCTCAGAATTTAGTGCACTGAGTGAGAACACCTGGAAACCCTTGCTGCTAGTTTTGGGAAGTACAAGGAGTTTTTTCCATCCTTACTGCTGACTCTAGAAAGAGGAGGGTCAGCTCATGCCAAGATGCGCTCTGCCTCTGGCCACAGGGGTTACTGAGGTAGTAGTGACCTCAGGAGGGGTGACGTTCCTCAGACTGTGGTCTCGGCGAGGGCTGAGGAGGGAGGGCAGAGGGCCTCCGAGCGGGCCCAGCATGGGAGGACAGGCTGGGCCGAGGGCCCGAGTCCACCGGGAGGGCCACGTGTCCTCGCCCTGGGGGGTAGCCTGTGAGGTGGCCTGGCTCCTCCCGCTTCTGACTTGCCCCAGGGGCTGGACGGGCGCAGCTCCAAGGCCTGAAAAGTAGGATTACCAGATAGCAAATCAAAATA